CTCACAGCAGGCTGTCGTTGGGTTAAGCAGAGGATTCGGCGCAGGAGGATTCGGCGCATTGATCTCTCAAGAGCAATAAACAAACACAAAAGGCTGCCAGTGTGTGGAAATCAAATACACTATTTGCCACTTGTGAATCGTTAATGAATCATTATTGAGACTTGTGTGTGAAAGTAAATGTTCCAATATTGCAATTAATAATAATAATAATAATAATAATAATAAAATTTATTTATATCCCGCCCCTTTGAAACCAATCGAGGTGGCTCACAACAGTAAAAGCAATTGTATCATTCTTGCTAAATAACGATAGAATAACACTACAGAACTGGTAATAGCCCCTGTGTGATAATATTCATTGTCATGAAGTGAGCCCCTGTGCAGAGGGGAAGAAGGAGGTGCAAAGCCAGCCACTCTCAGATGGGATCTGCAAATGATACCTGAGAGTGTTTATTTCCCCCTCTTTTTATTTCCCTTCATAGGAACAGAATGAAGCTGGACATTCAGCCACAATTTGCAAGATCATCACCATCACTATCTTTGTCACCCCACCTTTCCCAGGACTCATGGCAGTTTACAAATTAAAATGATTGAAACACAGTTTTTTTAAAAAAACCAGAAAAAGTCTAACATTAAATCACTAACAATATTACAACAGTTTAAAGCTTATACTTAAAAAGAATGTAAAAAGCAAGCAAAACAGTGAAATTTAATACAATTTAAAATACCCACTTGCAAGTCCTCAATTCTAAAACTTTGAATTAAAAGAAAACATCTTTGATTGCCAATAGATGATTACCTGTTCACAGCTTGGAAAGAACCTTTTTTGGACTACAGCTTTTCATCCCCCTGGCATGCTTGTTGCAGGATACTGGCAGTTGTGGCCCAAAGAAAGTAATATTCCCAAATTTTGCTCCAATTTAAACTGTTCCCATGAAACATTAATCTAAATATGGAATGCACAGCTTTTTCAATGGTGAGGGTTATGGTTGACCTGGCTTGGTGATCAGGAAATTCCAATATATACGTATGTATTCTTGTGCATGCAAGTATAAATTGGAGCAAAATACATCCACTCCTTGCTGAGAAGGAGTGGAGAATATTTTCTCCGTATTTGCTATTTCCCCTGGCAGTCCTGATACAGATCATTCTTTCTTTGCTGTTAGCAGCTGTGCTGAAAGAGCAGCCTGTTTTCAAATTGATAGGGTGGAAAATTTTAATGTAATTGGGTGCAGGTTGGGGCATCTCCCAAGGAGATGCACGTAAGGCACTGGGGTGCACATGTATTTTTGGGCTTTGTGCTCCCCCTGATCTAAATAGATATGCTGTGTTTATAAGTCTGACATGGGATGGACTTGAATAGAGAACATAAGTCAGGTAAGCTGAGAATTGCCATGGTCTACTTCTCTCTTTAGCTAGGGCATGGTTGGGAATTGCGTGACCCTTCACTCTGAGCATTTCTTACTGTTGGCTATTCTAGCTAGGGCTGCTGGAAATTGCAATCCAACATCTGGAGCCACACATTTCCTACTGTTGTGCTAGGAGTTTGTAAGGTGACCTGAGATTGGCCACCCTTTTTTATCCACAGTATAACTGTCCCTACAGTATGAATGCAAGATTTCATAAGACTTCTAACAATACTGTAAAGCAGGTCACTCTTGTCTCACTCATATTGATATAACCTTCTTTGAACATTTAAATAGTGGTGCATAAATAAGTGCTACCTGTCTCAAATTTAAGGCAGTTTTTTTAAAAAAGGCTATTAAGGCAATGTGCTTCAATGGAATTATATTTCAGTATTGTAGCTGAATTGCTTTACAGATCATAGGCACCATGATTCTGGCCAATTAGGAGTTTGGGATTCATTTCTAATTAACTGGTTCAATAATGTAAGTTGTACAACAAAGCATCAGCATACATTCACCCTGCTCCAATTAGACTGTAATTTTAGAAAAATGTTCTTCTGAAGCCTACAGTTTCTCATAAGCTTACCAAGGCTTCCTCAAGGATAGCTTGCTACTATCACCAATTTTCCTTGGCAATGCAGGCAGAGGATGCTTTAGGACAGTGGTGGTCCCAAAACCCAAAGTTCATAAAATAAGTTTGGCATGTTTGTAGAACTCATCTGAAGTGGTTGCTATTTCCATTACTAGAAGGTGTATATGTCACTTGCCTGTCATACTGAGAATACTGGAATAGTAGAATCTTTTTTGCCAGGGCACTTAGGAAATATAATTTTGCCAGGGTACATGAACAAAGTGAAGACTACATTGTTGGTCATACATTGTGATGGTGTGCAGTGAAAACATTTCTCAGATTCCTCTGCAACAGGAAGGGCCCCAGGACTCCTCAACATGCAACTCTTGCAAAACCACTGCAATGAAAAATATGTGACAGGTATCTAGGAGCCCTAGTAGACCACAAGTTGAACA